CACCACTCCTCAGTACTACCGCATTGTCCCTTAGAACCACCGCATCATTCCTTAGTACCACCGCCCCACTCCTTAGTACCAACGCATCGTCCCTTAGTACCACCGCACCATTCCTTAGTACCAACGCATCGTTCCTTAGTACCACCGCACCACTCCTTAGTACCAACGCATTGTCCCTTAGTACCACCGCACCATTCCTTAGTACCACCGCACCATTCCTTAGTACAACCGCACCACTCCTTAGTACCACCGCATTGTCCCTTAGTACCACCGCACCATTCCTTAGTACCAACGCATTGTCCCTTAGTACCACGCACCACTCCTTAGTACCAACGCATTGTCCCTTAGTACTACCGCACCATTCCTTAGTACCAACGCATTGTCCCTTAGTACCACCGCACCATTCCTTAGTACCAACGCATTGTCCCTTAGTACCACCGCACCACTCCTTAGTGCCAACGCATTGTCCCTTAGTACCACCACATCATTCCTTAGTACCACCGCACCACTCCTTAGTGCAAACGCATTGTCCCTTAGTACCACCGCACCATTCCTTAGTACCAACGCACTGTCCCTTAGTACCACTGCACCATTCCTTAGTACCAACGCATTGTCCCTTAGTACCACCGCACCATTCCTTAGTACCAACGCATTTTCCCTTAGTACCACTGCACCATTCCTTATACGTACTACCACTGAACCGTTTTTTAGTACCACGCACCATCCCTTAGTACCACCGCATCGTCCCTTAGTACCACTGCACCGTCCCTTAGTACCACCGCACCGTCCCTTAGTACCACCGCACCATCCCTTAGTACCACCGCACCGTCCCTTAGTCCCACCGCACCATCCCTTAGTACCAACGCACCGTCCCTTAGTACCACCGCACCACCCCTTAGTACCACCGCACCGTCCCTTAGTACCACCGCACCGTCCCTTAGTACCACCGCACCGTCCCTTAGTACCACCGCACCGTCCCTTAGTACCACCGCACCGTCCCTTAGTACCACCGCACCGTCCCTTAGTACCACCGCACCGTCCCTTAGTACCACCGCACCGTCCCTTAGTACCACCGCACCGTCCCTTAGTACCACCGCACCGTCCCTTAGTACCACCGCACCGTCCCTTAGTACCACCGCACCGTCCCTTAGTACCACCGCACCGTCCCTTAGTACCACCGCACCGTCCCTTAGTACCACCGCACCGTCCCTTAGTACCACCGCACCGTCCCTTAGTACCACCGCACCGTCCCTTAGTACCACCGCACCGTCCCTTAGTACCACCGCACCGTCCCTTAGTACCACCGCACCGTCCCTTAGTACCACCGCACCGTCCCTTAGTACCACCGCACCGTCCCTTAGTACCACCGCACCGTCCCTTAGTACCACCGCACCGTCCCTTAGTACCACCGCACCGTCCCTTAGTACCACCGCACCGTCCCTTAGTACCACCGCACCGTCCCTTAGTACCACCGCACCGTCCCTTAGTACCACCGCACCGTCCCTTAGTACCACCGCACCGTCCCTTAGTACCACCGCACCGTCCCTTAGTACCACCGCACCGTCCCTTAGTACCACCGCACCGTCCCTTAGTACCACCGCACCGTCCCTTAGTACCACCGCACCGTCCCTTAGTACCACCGCACCGTCCCTTAGTACCACCGCACCGTCCCTTAGTACCACCGCACCGTCCCTTAGTACCACCGCACCGTCCCTTAGTACCACCGCACCGTCCCTTAGTACCACCGCACCGTCCCTTAGTACCACCGCACCGTCCCTTAGTACCACCGCACCGTCCCTTAGTACCACCGCACCGTCCCTTAGTACCACCGCACCGTCCCTTAGTACCACCGCACCGTCCCTTAGTACCACCGCACCGTCCCTTAGTACCACCGCACCGTCCCTTAGTACCACCGCACCGTCCCTTAGTACCACCGCACCGTCCCTTAGTACCACCGCACCGTCCCTTAGTACCACCGCACCGTCCCTTAGTACCACCGCACCGTCCCTTAGTACCACCGCACCGTCCCTTAGTACCACCGCACCGTCCCTTAGTACCACCGCACCGTCCCTTAGTACCACCGCACCGTCCCTTAGTACCACCGCACCGTCCCTTAGTACCACCGCACCGTCCCTTAGTACCACCGCACCGTCCCTTAGTACCACCGCACCGTCCCTTAGTACCACCGCACCGTCCCTTAGTACCACCGCACCGTCCCTTAGTACCACCGCACCGTCCCTTAGTACCACCGCACCGTCCCTTAGTACCACCGCACCGTCCCTTAGTACCACCGCACCGTCCCTTAGTACCACCGCACCGTCCCTTAGTACCACCGCACCGTCCCTTAGTACCACCGCACCGTCCCTTAGTACCACCGCACCGTCCCTTAGTACCACCGCACCGTCCCTTAGTACCACCGCACCGTCCCTTAGTACCACCGCACCGTCCCTTAGTACCACCGCACCGTCCCTTAGTACCACCGCACCGTCCCTTAGTACCACCGCACCGTCCCTTAGTACCACCGCACCGTCCCTTAGTACCACCGCACCGTCCCTTAGTACCACCGCACCGTCCCTTAGTACCACCGCACCGTCCCTTAGTACCACCGCACCGTCCCTTAGTACCACCGCACCGTCCCTTAGTACCACCGCACCGTCCCTTAGTACCACCGCACCGTCCCTTAGTACCACCGCACCGTCCCTTAGTACCACCGCACCGTCCCTTAGTACCACCGCACCGTCCCTTAGTACCACCGCACCGTCCCTTAGTACCACCGCACCGTCCCTTAGTACCACCGCACCGTCCCTTAGTACCACCGCACCGTCCCTTAGTACCACCGCACCGTCCCTTAGTACCACCGCACCGTCCCTTAGTACCACCGCACCGTCCCTTAGTACCCCCGCACCGTCCGTTAGTACCCCCGCACCGTCCGTTAGTATCACCGCACCCTCCCTTAGTACCACCGCACCGTCCCATGGTACCACCGCACCATCCCTTAGTACCACCGCACCGTCCCTTAGTACCACCGCACCGTCCCATTGTACCACCGCACCGTCCCTTAGTACCACCGCACCATCCCTTAGTACCACCGCACCGTCCCATAGTACCACCGCACCGTCCCTTAGTACCACCGCACCGTCCCTTAGTACCACCGCACCGTCCCATAGTACCACCGCACCGTCCCTTAGTACCACCGCACCATCCCTTAGTACCACCGCACCGTCCCTTAGTACCCCCGCACCGTCCGTTAGTATCACCGCACCCTCCCTTAGTACCACCGCACCATCCTTTAGTAACACCACACCACTCATTAATATATGTGATGAGCCTTAGCCTTAGACGAGTTGTGAAGAATAAAAACTGGTGTTTTTATCATAAAAATGCATGCGGTAAAGGGACAGACCAGTGTGAGGACTATAGTGATTGTGTATATAAGAAAATACAAAACTACAACTTAGTGAAACCATCATTTACGTCTTAAAACGTATCTTTGAAGTTCATCGCCTCAAGGAACTTTGGTTTGTGGTCGCCTGAAAAAAAAAAGGGGGGGGGGGTTAACGTCGTGTTAATTAATAGTTAAGATTTGTTATTATGGCTTTCTTGTGTTGTTTTTTTTTAACACTGTCATGGGCGATCATCTCCAAATGATTGGCAAAGTACGGCTCTGCCTTTGAAGGGGGTGGGGTGGGAGTATGGCTCTGCCTCGGAGTGGGGGTGGGAGTATGGCTCTGCCTCGGAGTTGTGTTGCAGCATGGCACTGACTTGGAATGGGGGTTGGAGCATGGCTCTGCCTGGAAGTGAAATGGCCAAATGGCGCTGACTGGATTTAAGGTGGCAGATTTCACGAGGATACAAATTGAGAAGGTGTCTCATTTTATAAAGCGCTTATACAAAAAAGTCTTCATTATTTCAGTACCTGAATCTCTTCAAAGTTAATTACATCTATACAACATTAATAATAGCCGCAGCCTAGAAATATCAATGAAAGAAATGGGGTATCTTAACTCCTTTAATGGAGAGGGTAAATATTTCACATGCCACGCCCATATTTAATTTTTGTTTAAAGTATACCCCAGTGTACTTCAGTAATTCACATATTGCTAGTTCTTCTGACAAATCTCTGGCATTAGTGGCTGCTCGGGGTATCAACATCACTTCCTTGACGCCCCGATTCTACATAACCGTCATCACCCCTGGGGATAGGCGCTTCATGACAACACCACTGACCCACTGTCATGGCGCCTCTGACGGCGTCGTTGTTGGTGTCCCCTTCCAGGTGTGCAAACACGGTCATCAGGATACCATTAGAAACAAACCACGAACGACAGACCCCCAAGAAGAAAACGTTTAAGAACTAGTATGTTGGCGTCTCACTTACACTCACACTGCGTGGTGTACTAAGTGTGGCGTGTGAGCCTCAGTTAATCTGCCAATTACTTGTCACGAGTACTCCACGCCCACTCCAAAGTCATTTCATTCATCAAAAGTACAAAAAAAGGCGGTACCTCGCCACGCAACGACTCCCACCATTGGCCACACGGCGCGCGTGGGACTCCCGCCACGCGGTGTTTGTGTACAAACCTATGCAAATCTGGCCCCGTTCGGAAGTGAGACGTGGGGAAGGGGGAGGTCACGGCGGAGTTAAGGGGGGAGGCAAGCGATTGTTGTCTACTCCTCTCGAATAGTTGAGTAGGATGGATTCGGTGAATGACTCTCGTGGTGTTATCGAGGTCCGCTAACATGTTACAACGCCGGAGTTGCGGTGCTCTCCTGGATACATATGTCATTCTTTACTGGATTACATACAGTGTGTTAGTGTGATCGTGTCATGGGTGTGTTACTATACATTCAGTGTAAAAGTGTGATGGTTTAACGGTGTCTGATCTTACACAGGCTGTGTACTACATCATAGCAGTAGATAGAAATACAACTCAGAATAATTTTTAAAAAACGACAACATGAGGCGACTACGCGTGAGCGCAACCGCGTTTTCCTCATACGCGCTGTTTATTTATGTAAACATTTTGCTTCGAGATTTTTCCATTGTCAGCGCCAGCTTTTTCCCGTCCGATGATAAGATTCTGACCGTTAATCGTGACGTGGTCGTCCCAATTGGACGTACCGTCTACCTGACGACGGATCATTTACAAATTCGAGTCAATGCAAGCGACAGGTGCGAGGTCAAGGTCGTCGATAACGACCCACTGTCCCGGAGACCTGGCCGGCTCACCCCATCGGTTTTTCTATGCAACTTCGCGCAGCAGGAAGTTGTTTATACACACTTTGGCGCGGAAAATCCAAAACACGACAATGTAAGACTTTTAATTCGGTACGATTCCTTCAGCGAGTCGACCTTCATTCCGTTCACCATTCGGTTCAGAGTTTCGAAAACCCCTCTGGAGGTCGTGACGAGAAACCTGCCCCTGACGGTGGACAAAACCTTGGGAGTGAGCAGCCCCATAAACGTCAACACGACCGAGTTCTCCTACGTCCGCGGGCAGGAGCAGTGTCGAGTGTCCCTCTTGCCGTTGACCAGCGGCCGGCCGAGGCATGGCGTCGTCATGGACGACACCGCCAGGCTTCAGATGGTTGACTGTGTGGAGTTCTTAAACCAAAACATCCGCTACAAACACGTGACCCAGGCGAACTCCCCAAACAAGGATTTCATTCCGCTCGTCGTCAGCGTTCTCGACTCCACGGGTAAAGTCCTCAAATCCGAACATTTCCAAGTTCTGGTGAGAATTTCCGGCGGGAAAGAAAACGAGAAGCCAACGCTTGAATTCGGCTCAAAACTCAACATGGAAGTGACGCAGTTGCTTCTAACCGCCCTCCAGCCCGAGATCCTATCGGCGAAAGACTTTGAGACCCCCTCGGATCTCCTCCTCTTCAACATCACCAAGCCGATTCCGACGGGAGACGGCTATTTTATCAACACAGACAACAGACAACAGAAAATTACGTCATTTTATCAGCGTGACTTGCGGGATTTTAAAATTGTCTTCGTGCCTCCATCCGCTGACCCGGGTGTGTCAAAAGTCCTGTACATTGCCATGCAGGTGGTGGACGGTGATGGCGTCTCTTCTGAGCCGTTCGGCGTGAAAATAAGCATCAGGCCACTCATCCCGCTGGGTCCGAAAATCACAAACAACAAAGGTCTGACGATATTTGAGGGAAAATCAGTACATCTTGCGCTGGATTCAAATTTTCAAATTTCTGATGCCAACAGTCTAGACAAAGTTAAAATATCTTTAGTAGCAGGGCCCAGGCACGGACATTTGACGATTCCAGACAATCGACAGTTTTTCTCCCCGAGCGATCTCAGATCCGGACTCATCGCCTACCAACACGACGACTCCGACAGTTTTTCCGACAACATGATATTCCGCGTCACCGATGGCGAGTACTCTTCGCAGTTTCTATTTCCGGTTTGGGTGCTGCCGGAAGACGACGAGCCCCCAGTGTTGACGGTCAACACGGGCTTGGAGATAAGCAAGAAAGATAAGGTGAAAATAACGCCGCTCATCCTGAGTGCGACCGACAGCGACAGCGACAACACCCAGGTCAGGTACGTGCTGGAGACGCCCTATTCGGAAGAAGGCGTCATCTTAAAACGCCAGGTCCAGACGCCGGACAATCCCGAAGACTGGAAGGTTGTGGACGGCATGTACGAGCAGAGCGTCGACGAGTTCACCCAGAGCGACGTCGTCAACGGCCTGATGTTTTACAAGCACGTCGGACCGCATCGGTCCGACATCATCATCGACCGGATTCGATTCCACATCGCGGATTCCGGTGACCCGCCCAACCAATCGGACGTGAAGGAATTCCTGGTCAAGATCGAACCCGTGGATGACCAGCCCCCTTACCTGTTCTACAACACGTCCCTCCAGATGGACGTCGTGGATTACGAGACGACGTATTTCAAACGCAAGGCCTTGCGCTACGCAGACGACGATTCGGACGACAGGGACATCAAGTTCAGCGTGACGTCACCTCCGGCGGACACCGACGTCAATACGCGCCTGGATGCCGGGGCCATCACGGCGTGCAAGGACACCTTAAAGGTTCTGAAAACTTTCACGCAGGGACAGGTCAACCACCAGGAGATCTGCTACCAGCCCCCGGAAGAAGATTCCGGCATCACCCCGAGGATCATACAGTTCGTGTTTGATGTCGAGGACGCCAACGGGAACATTTTAAAAGACCAGAGGTTCACGCTGATGGTCCAGCCCATGACGCATTCGCCGCCCGTCATCAAGAACGCCGGGCTGAATGTTCTCGAGGGCGACTCGGCGACACTGACCCTGGACGATTTCGATGCCGTGGAGTCGTACTCTACGGATGACAACATCATGTTTGAGGTCATGGAACCACCACGCCACGGGCAGATCAAGCTCAGAAACGACCCCATGGACAAAGGCGACACGTTCGCCCGCAAGCACATCCGTGACGGCCTCGTTGTCTACACCAACAACGGCGAAACGGTCGGCGACGACAAAATCATGATCGACGTCACGGACGGCGTCCACCACATCCCTGTGAAATTGAACGTCAAAGTCAGGGGCGTGGCAGACGAGCGGCCGCCGATGGTTGGGGGTCGATCAGAAATTTTGAAAGTCATTTTGGAGGTGCCAGAGAAAGGCGTCGTGACGTTGACCGCCGACACTCTGAAAGGCGTAGACCTAGGGGGGAGCAAGGCGACATTTTTATTGGAGCGGGCGCCGCTGGATGGCGTGGTCGCAATACGCGAAAAACAATCCACCGAGTTTTCGCAGACGGATATTTTGGCAGGTGTGATATCTTATAGACACACTGGAGGGGAGGTGGGGTTGACCGGAAGGGGGGACCACTTCCAAATCGCAATCGTTAACCCAAAGAAAGCGCTGACCCTCGACGGGAGGACGATTTCTAAATTACTCGTGGAGATTAAGATTAACCCCGTAGATAACCAGTCCCCCATTCTCACCGTCGGCTCCCCTTTCGAGGTTCCCGAAAGTAAAAAAGCCCCCATTCTCACGAGGCACGTCGACGCTGCTGATGTAGACTCCGAAGATGGGGACATCCTGTGTCTGGTGACGCTACAACCAAAAACTGGCTACCTCGAAAATTCATCTCCGGCCCCCGGGTCCGAAAAGTCAAGAACCGGTTCTCCGATCTCATCCTTCACAATCAGAGACATTCGCTCCGGGCTCATCAACTACGTCCAAAGCGTCCACAAGGGCAGTGAACCCCGCAAAGACTCTCTAATGTTTTACTGCACGGATGGGATCAACCAATCGCCACATTCCAACATCGACATCCGCATATTGCCATTCAACGACGAGGTACCCGAGATTACACTGAGGGAGTTCCTCGTGGTCGAGGGCGGAAACATGAGGATAGATCTCCAAATTTTGAACGTGTTAGATCAGGATGTCCCCGCCGACAAACTCACTTTTCTCATCACCGCGCCGCCGAGACACGGCAAGATTGTCCGACAGACGCGCGAGGGCAGTTTTACGATTCCGAGTTTTTCGCTGGAGGACATCACGGGGGAGTCGACGATTGCCTACGAGCACGACGACAGCGAAACAACGGTCGACTCCTTCACTTTCACCCTCACCGACGGTGAACACAACATCTCCAAGACCGTACCCATCAATGTGTTTCCGCTTGATGACGTCGCCCCGAGACTCGCCGTTAATACTGGCCTGCAAATCATGGCCGGCGAAGCTAAAAAAATCACAAACAAATTTCTGAAGGCGGACGATCTCGATTCCAACGACGCCGACCTCTCATACTTCGTCAGAATGAAGCCAAAATACGGGTACTTGCGTAAAATCGAGGGTAACACGATCAAGAATTTAACACAGGGAGATAAGTTCACACAGAAGGATATCGATAAACGTAGAATCGAATACGTCCACACGGACCACGAAGGGGTGAGGGACCTGATAAAATTTGACATCACGGACGGTCTCAATTCTTTGATTGACCGATTCTTCTATGTGACGGTTGAAGGGGTTGAAACAGCGACCCCTAAAGTTTACAACAAAGGTATACAGCTTCCGGAAGAAGGTATCGTGTATTTGACACGTGACCTTCTAAGCGAGACCGATCTCAATACAGCCGACGGCGATTTGACCTTCTCCGTAACTCGGACGCCTTCTCAAGGACAACTGGAGGTTGCCAACAAACCCGGGGTCTCGTTGTCCGCATTTACACTGCAGCAACTTGGGGCCAGGAGCATCAGGTACGTTCACAACAGCGAAGAGGAACTCAAAATGGACAGTTTCGAGTTCGAGGTGACCGATGGTCAAACGCCGGTGACCAGCACGTTTAGGATCTCCGTCAGCGATTCCAGCAACCGGAAACCGATCTTGATGTTCCAAACCCTGCGCGTGAAGACCGGCGACAACCGTCTGATCACGCCGACGGAACTGAAAGCCGACGACCTCGACAGCGACCAAGCTCATGTCGTGTTCGCCGTGACGGAGGTCCCGAAACGAGGCGTGCTCCTCTACAACATGACGCGCGTGCTGAGCAGCTTTACCATGGCCGACATCACCGACAACATGCTCAGCTACCAGCACGACGGTTCCCAGGCCAAAGAGGACAGCTTCTCCTTCACCGTCACCGACGGTTCCCATCACGATTTCTTCGTGTACCCCGACACTGACACGACGCACAGGCCCCAGACCATGATCGTCAACATCGTGGCAGACGACGACGGGGCGCCCCAAATCAACGTCAACAAAGGGGCGTCCTATCTGACGAAACTCGCCGGCGGCCATCTTGGATTTCGAATCAGCAGTCGCGTGTTAAATATGGAGGATCGGGAAATCCCTGAAGATAACCTGTTATATTCGTTGATTACGTCACCGAAATGGGGATACGTCATCAACAGGGCGATTGGGAATAGGAGCATCACGACCTGGTCACAGGGTGAGTCCAGTTGTTTTTATGCGTTTATATTTAGTAACAGCAAAGTCAAGGTTATCTATGTGTTGTCCCTGTAACTACAGATTTGGAAACTGTTCTTATGTCACTCCACTTGTTCTCCCGTGTAATCTCAAAACCCTCGCCTTGATCAGTTCTTGTCTATCTGCCGTTTGAATATATCAATGTGTGTTTAATGATGTATGTCTTATAAGGGGTCTTCCGTAAAGGACGTCTGCTGAAACTGGGTTGTGGAGAGGGGGGGGGGGCTAGCTCAAGAGCTGACGATTGTGGACTGGGGGAGGGGGAAGGGGGTAAAGGGTCTTGCGGACGTCCTCCAGGTAGTTTTTGTTTGGTTGCACGCTTGTTTAAGCCAACTACTTCTAAGCGATAGCGGTCTTAATACAGCAGAAGGTGATTTATCCGTTTCCGTAACTCGGACACTAGTTCTCAGCTAAGTGCTATTTTTACATTTTATTCTGTTTTTTTTTTTTTTTTTTTTTTTTTTTTTTTTTTTTTTTTTTTTTTTGGTTGTTGTTTGTTGGCTGGCGAAGGCTTCCTGTCGACACGATCGTTGTTTTGTTGCGTTCCTTTTTTTCAGGTTCGATCTATTTTTTTTTGGGGTACTCATTTACTATCAGAGAAATTAGAGGGTGAAAGATTCCAGGACAATTTTTATACGTACGTACTTTTGGCAGACCACACCCGCCCCTTCCCCCGGTACACTCACCAGTAGGCAAAATTAACACCCCCCACCCCCGCGTTGCCTACGTAAGCAATGTATGGGCCCATGTCATAATGATTTTGAGTTTAGAGGTGTAAGTCTAGTCACGCTTTGCTCTGTATAATTGTTGTTATACTTCCTGGCACTTAGCACTGTAAATTTCCGTATGTGCCTACAGGCAGGCAAGCAGGCAGGCAGGGGTGGGGGTTGGGGTTAGCCACATTCGGGCAATGGGGTTGTAGTGGAAAATGCTTTTTTTTTTGTGCGCACGGACGTCCTCCGTGGACAAACCTTACAAGTCTACCACGGAGAGCGCATTAAGATAGTCAGTCGTTTTACCGGTACTTCATTTCATTAGCAGGATTTCAAATCAACGTCACATCTGTCCTTGTGTTTTATCTATTGTGTTTAAATTAGTTTAATTATGACGTGCATGTGTTTTAGATTGATATTTTAAAAAAAAACCATCAATATCTTAAAACATTAGGATAGTTTGTATTTAAATTCCGTCTTTAGCACAATCTTGAAATGAAAGAACTGAGGTTAGGTTTCTGTTAAAAATATACCGGTATAAATATTAACACATTTACGACATTGATTTTTCTAGAAAAAAAGCGTTCGCCACCGTTGAAGCTGTTTTAGTGAAGCCTCTTTTTGACAGCAGACGGCAATGACGTCCAACGTTTGGTACACGAGCGCGTTCATCAATCAATGGATTGTGAATTTACAAATACTCCGATTGAAAGATATGAGAACATCGTCGCTATCCGTCTGAAACATTCGACCACAATTGTCCGCGTCACGTCAATACTTAGTCGGTAAACAATTGACACAAAAGTTTAAAAAAAGACATGACATATATATGTTTATTTATTTTATTGAACTATAGTTAAATGGTTTATGATCACGTAAAAAAAAGTTCAAAAATTCGTACAGAGACTTATCATACGACACAATAGATTATGAATCATACTAGCGCGTTAAGACTAAGGTTAAAGGTTACAAGCCATTGAGGTTTCATCGTGGATGCTCAAAAGCTGGTCTTAATTTGATCGACAAGCCTGCAGCCGATTCTTTCGTGTAGCAATTAATTAAAAACATGTGGTCTTATCACATTACAATTAATTCAATGGCCAACCAGCGCCGATCAAATCTAATCGGGCCATTCAGTTTCACTCCGTAACAATCTTTATAGGCTTTTTTCTCTTTCTCTCCCCCCCCCCCCCCCTCTTCTTCTCCTCGATGGCTCGCTGGCTCGCGCTGCTAAGTTTTATCAATAAACACTCGTGATTCACCAACGTAAACTCGCAGTGAGACGTCACTGCTTTCGCCTGCCGTCGGCGGCATTCATCTTCTGGAACTCCTGCCGTATTAGCGGTTTGGTTCGGCCGGGCATTCCTTGTTGTTGTAACTCAGTCCCTGGTCCAAGGATTGCGGGGCTTCTCATGTTTTGCTGTGGTCATCCGGTCAGATATTCTCAGGGATTCTAGTATTTCTCTCATCTTAACCGTGTATAGTATATTGAATTACTTTCGTTGGAATCTCACGCTAGACAATAAGACTGGTTCCACTTTTAAGAAGGAACCACATTAATAAATACTATTGCATATTGTTTGAGAACCCTATTTTTTTAATTTTTTTCTGGATACAAAGCGAATGAAAACAAACCCCTCTTAAGTTGGGCAAGCGTGGTCCTAGTTTATGCCAGTTACCAGTTTCACCCCCCCCCCCAAGCTTTGATGTTTTCACTGGCTGGTCAGTTTTCTCTTCCACTTACCATCACACTGGTATTGATTCAATCCTCTCCTACTTCCAATCATAGCAAACGCTGCACTTCCAATCATAGCAATCGCTGTACTTCCAATCATAGCAATCGCCGTTCTTCCAATCAGAGCTATATATATCGCTGGCTTTGAAAATGACGTTTGGTGGAAACACCTCGTGAAAACAAACTCCGAGGAACGATGTGATGGCGAGGGGAATAGTGTGTGTGTGTGTGACTGTGTATCTATGTCCGTCTGTCTGTGTGTCTGCGTGTGTGTGTGTGTCTGCCTGGGTGTGTGTGTTCGTGTGTGTAACGAGAACAAGAAACTGTGGTCTGCTATGTCCAGGATGCACTCAATGATTTATTATCAAAAGAGTATTTAAGTAATACAATGGAGTCATACACTGGAGTCATACACTGGAGTCACACACTGGAGTCACACACTGGAGTCACACACTGGAGTCACACACTGGAGTCATACACTGGAGTCAGGCCAGTTATCAGGATTTCTGACGCATTGTATAGAAGAGCCGTAGACGCCATACATACGTGCACTCGAATGGGCCGGACACGTAGACCAGGGTTTGTTTAAACCGAACGTCACGAGTCCTAGAGCTAGGGGCATTAATAATGAATAGTCACGGGGTCAATCAGACGTGGTCGCTGACATATGTCGAGTGGACGGTTGAATAAATCATCGGTTCTCAAACAGGTGGGTGTCGACGGGTGTAGACATCATTGAATCATACTTGCCGTTGGTGATTCATCCTATGACCGCATCACGTTTCTGGTGGAATTAATACGCGCAGTATAGATAAGTGATAGTTCCGAGTCATAGACATTTATTGAGCGTTGCAATGGGAGAAATAGTTTTCTATTTGAAACAACGATGATTAGAGCGGAGAAGTACCGCGCTATTCGAGACCTGCATTACCCACTGACGCATTACTTAACAGTGACATCTGGAACTGCTTCCGTTGTAACAGTAGGTAAACATTAGTAACAAGAAATTAACACCATGGTTTCTGTGGATTATTTTATGGAAATAATAATTCTCGGATAATTGGATCAACTGTGTGTTACAGTGGATACACTCAGGATTTTGTTGTCTGTGGATAAGCTCATTGTTCTCGTGTATCGACCCCGCTTCACTGTGTGTGTTTGTGTGTGTGTGTGTGTGTGTGCTAGGGGGTGGTTGTGGGTGTGTGAAATGAAAATGTCAATATACACACGAGCAACATTTGACCGCCATTAATCTCTCGGGGGGGGGGGGGGG